AGTGGAATTCCATTGTTAAATATAATAAAACAGGCATCCAGCAAGGGTAGAAGATTTTGGAAAAAAATAGTTGCAAAATGCACAATCAAAAACAATCCTATGGAAGAAGGGAAAAGGGAAACATCTGGAAAGGCCAATGTGGCAACACATTAAAATCAAGGAGGATGTGCAAAGAAAAAGAAGGATGGATGGATGGATGGATGGAAGGAAGGAAGGAAGGAAGGAGACAAATGCAAAGTTCCACATTTAAGCCACAAAAATCAAATGAAGACCTATAGGATGGAGGATATATGATTCAGCAGTACTGCATGCAAAAAATGACCTTGATATTGTTGTTGATCATATGCTGAACAGCAGCAAAAAGGAAGAATCCTGCATTAATATAATACTAGTTTCTGGGCTAAGTAAGATGTATACCATTGTATTCTCTACTGGTCAGTACCCATCCCTCATCTGGAGTATTGCCTCATTTTAAGAAGGATATAGACCAGGCATGGGCAAACCCAGGCCTGCAGGCAGGGCGCAGCCATTTAGGGTCCAAATTATGGCCCCCATCTCCCTCAGCACTCCTCTCAACACATGGAAGCGGTGACCTGGCATCCCCAGACTGAGAGGAGGGCCGAGGTAGAAATACATGGCTGGCGAGAACTCTCCGGAGCTCTCGCCAACCATGTTTCTCCCCCTCTCTGACTGAGAACACAGCAGGCTGCCATCTCCCCAGGCAGCAAAGAGTGCTGAGGAGGAGGCAGGCCACTGCCAGAGAGAACTCCAACAGCAATGGCCCATCTCCTTCTCCCCCTCTTCTCCACCTGTGAAAGTGGCGGGCCGCCATCTCACCAGTCGATAAAGAATGTCGAGGGAGAGGTAGGAGAGAACTCTGGCAGTTGCCTGTCTCCCCCTCCTCTTCACCTGTGAAAGTGGCGGGCCGCCATCTCACCAGTTGATAAAGAATGTCGAGGGGGAGGTAGGAGAGAACTCTGGCAGTTGCCTGTCTCCTCCTCCTCCTCCTCTTCACCTGGGAAAGTGGCAGGCTGCCATCTCCCCAGGTGGAAAAGAGTGCCGAGGAAGAGGCAGGCCGCTTCTGGAGAGAACTCTGGCAATGGCGAGAGCTCTTTCTTGACAACAGCCTGTTTCCTCCTCTAAGTTGTGTCTCCTTGCCTTGCCCTTCTCTCGGCAGAAGGAAGGGGAAGGCCTCCTCCTTCTCCAGAGATAATAGCTTGAGCCAGGAAGGCAAGCAGCATTTGAAAGGGCTGTGGAGCCCTTTCAGACACTGCGTGCCTCTCACTCCTCCCAGTATGGGGCGTGTAGCCCCATCGTTATGCTGGGAGGGCAGCCTGAGGATGCCCCACCCCTCCCACCACACCCTCCCTCCCTTCTGGCCCAACTCTCCCAGAACAAAAAGGTTTGCCCATGCTTGATATAGACAAACAAGTTCTTTGAAGAGCAACAAGGATAATAAAACATATGGAGAACAAAATATATGAGGGAAGGTTGAAGGAGCTAGGCTTGTTTAGCTTGGTGAAGAGAAGATGGAGGATGAATAATCAATCTTTAAGTACCTTAAGGGGGCAGACCTGTTCTCTGCTGCCCTAGAGAGTAGGGCCAAGTCTAATGGTTTAACGTTACAAGAAAGGGGATTTCAATAGAATATTTTTGACAGTAGATGTGGTTTGGCAATCGAATTAACTGCCTAGAGAGACGATGAGTTTTCCTTTTCTGGGTGTCTTTAAAAAAGGTTGGTCAACTACCTACTGCTGGGGATGCTCTAGCTGGAGATTGCACTTAGCAATGAGTTGGACTAGCTGGTACATGGGGCTATTTCCAAATTGACAATTCTGACTCTAATGCCCTGCCTAACTTCCAACACCACAGAGCCTGAATGTGACATGACATCAAGCTATATTACTTAATGGAAGACAGGACTCTGGGGAAATCCTAGCTATGATAGTTAGGAAATGATACAATTCAAAAAAGTAGATTTCTTGGAGTCTGGTGTTAACACTATTTTAAGGTAAATATAGCAAAAAGGTAATGGCGCTCCATGCAGTCATGCTGGCCACATGACCTTGGAGGTGTCTATGGGCAACGCTGGCTCTTTGGCTTAGAAATGGAGATGAGCACCAACCCCCAAAGTTGGACACAACTGGGCTTAATGTCAGGGGACAACCTTTACTTTTACCTAATAAAAGGTAAATACTAAATCAAAACTTCTCCAGGCAAAACCAAATGATTCCACAAAGTCTAGCAAGCAGCATAATTCAAACATTTTATGTGCTGGTTTTGAAATTGTATGTGACACTTTGGAACATGATTTCTCAAAGCAAACTGTAGCAAATTTCAAGGTGAGTAAAGCAATGAGAGCATTTGTTGGGATACTGCCAAAGTATCACTGGGCTCCCAGCCAGGGTTGGGTGACAACTGAAAAAATTGAAAGGCTTGTGGAGACTCAAGTCATTAGAGAAGAATCAGTTCTACATGATCAGTAATCAGGTGTCCTCTCCAACTGACTTCTGCCATGTAAGCAGAAAACAAGCACAGGAACAGGCATTCAGTTGGAAGTCCCTAATTTTTCTCAGAGGTCAAGCAGTGTAAGATATTGAAGCACATTCAGGGAATAGCTTTAAAGAGACTGCATCTGGTCATCACTGAATTACTTAGATCCATCAGCCTGTTTAAGCCAGATGAAGCCATGTCTGTCAAAGGGCTTGGGAAGGAGACACATTCACAGAGAGGCTTTACAAAATTTCATGGGCTCAATTGCCATCACTATTGGAAGCGCCTTTGCAGGTTCCAAAAGTTGCAAATAAGATTGCAGCAACCACCAAAGCCATAGTGCTTTACTTCTGCACATCTTCAAACTTCTTCTAATGTTTATATCTGCAATGTACCCCTGAAATATGCATCATGTTAGCTTCTTGGGCCACTTTAGTCAGTGTACTGTAAGCACAGTAATTAAAATAAAACAACTTACAGTTCTTTTACCGCTCTTACAAGCACACCAAGCTTAGGACAGCATTGACTGTCTGAGCTCTTGACTAACGCAATATGGATGGCAAAATGTAGAGGAAATGAACCAACCACTGAATGCATTATCATCGCTGCCAGTCATGCTCAGATAGCCATTTTTCACCTACAGTCCGTAACAATGAAATGTTAATGAACAGCTGGGCTTAAGTTTGAGAAACAAGGAAGAGAACAATGAATTACATGAGATTTGCTATACATTTAATGCTTAAATGTTTTGTCTTATGTCTATTATAACAGGCTGTGCTGTTTATTTAATTTTAGTTTGTTAAGTTATAATTTGTATTTATATGTTGGGTTGTATACATTTTGTTAGTATTGATGTATTATTGTTGTATTGGGCATTGAATGTTTGCCTTTTATGTCTGGAATCTGCCCTGAGTCTCTTTGGGGAGATAGAGTGGAATATAAATAAAGTTTATTATCATTTAAGGGCAGCGAAACATTTTGAAGCAGACTTTCTGGAAGTTAAAGAGTATTTGAGAATAATATAGTACATTAAAAAGGAATCTATCCTTGTTCAATAAAATCCAAAATATATATCAATAAAGCAGGCAGCAGTTTACGTGAGAAGTGAACCATTTGAATACAGAAGACTTCAGAAGGGATACCTCCTGTTCTTTAGGTCCACATAACATAGCCAAAAGTATCCTGCCCTGAACCACCTCTGTTATATAGCCTATCATCTGGCATCAGTGAAATTATTATGATTCACCCTGAAGAACCACAGCAATCAGACAGCAGTGCTTCCTCTGCACAATATATTAATCTCTAGACATAGAGAAGCAGCTCTATGAGAAGCAGTGGAAGGAACAATAAGTGAGATACAGGGTCTTTCTTTTAGCTACACAAATGCTTTTAGCTTAACAGTATTGTACTGATTTGAAGACCAGAGAACCCAATTCAAGAATGCTAAAGGAATTCACAGATGTTATTTCTGTTTTAATCCTTTTAATCCTGGTAAATGTGTTTATTTTTAGTAATCTCATTTAGAAAAGAGCACTAAGAATGTGCATTGTAGCTCCCCTCAGAACAGGCACAAAACCAATGTCAACCCCATGCAAACCTGCTATATATCACTGCTTTTCTGCAATTATACTAAAAACTCTTAAAGGAGAGCCACAGGACTGCTTTAATTAAAACTATGGATAAATTGCAAGTGATCCTGACAAACTACCAAAGCAGCTCCAGTGACAGCGAAGTGTACATTAAAGCTGGGAATCAAGCTGAAAAATAACCTGCATGTCAAGCAGCCTGATCAATATAATAATTGCTCCAGGCTGGAACAAAATTACAATCCCAGGTTAAAGACAACCAAGCAATACAGAAGGTTATAATGTATATTGTGCTGTGGGGAAAGTCAAATGCTATATCAAATCACAGGCAATCTGATGGATAGAAAAATGTGAATATATGTGTGTATATATCTGCAAAATAAAATGGATATTAAGTCATCTGACAGATAGCATCACATACGAAGAATCATAAGTGAAGATACTTAATTTCATATTCAGTAAATTAGTTCATATACTAGGGTGCAATAGGTATGAAAAGCAAAATAAGAAGCAGAAACTGATACTGAACATATAAATGTAGAGTACTTTAATTGTTGACATTCACATCCTGCATCTATATATTTTAGTTCATTACTTCTTGCATGTCACACAGCTATTTCCATTACAGATTGGCCTGCTAGTGAACACATTTTGTTAAGGTTAACTTTTTCTGTCCTGATTTGAGCTCCTATCAAACGCATATGAGACATTAACGTAAGATGATTTAAAAAATCAATATAACTGCAGTACGTATGAAGCAACAATATCCCGAATTCACTCCAACTGTAATTGTTTAAAGTGCAAATGCTGGTATGAGAATGTCATAATACATCATATCTGCACAGTAGTTGATCAACTATGTGCACTTAAAAAACCCATGGAGATGTCTGCTTTTCAGGAAATGGTGCAGTTGCAACTTACCTGTCTCTTTGTCCTGTACTTCTTCCAGGTGCAAGTCATTCAAGAGGTGCTCCAAAATCTTCTCGGGAGTCCCGGACACCACCACATATCTGTCAGAAAGGAGAGAGTCCACAGAGTCATCCTCTGTTGAAGACTGAGAGCGACTGCTCCATTCATCCTCTTCATCTTCTTCATCAATGTATTTAAAATAAGGCACATCAAAGGTAGGCAGAGGCAGCTCCCTGCCTACAAGCAAAGCAAAATCTTTCCTTTCTATGGGAGGGTCAAAGATCCTCAGCCTGGAACTTCCCATACTGTAGGGCAAATAACAAAGGCATTCCCTACATGCTGCTCTATCTTCCTCTCTCAGTTCTGTTGCCGGTGAGCGAGTTCATATAGCTGCCTAGTGCTCTGCAGTCGGCTTGTATGAGATAGAGAGAAAGACACACACACAGAGAGAGAGAGAGAGAGAGAGAGAGAGAGAGAGAGAGAGAAGGCTGTGGCTCAGCACCCAAGGAAAAAAACCCCTTCTTACCTCCAATCACTTTCGGCACTCCCTGTTGTGGGGGCTGGGCTATGTGACGACACCTTCTTAAGCACCAGCACATCTTGGTCCAGTTCCTTCACTTGAATAGTAGTCACTTCATCATCCAGCTTTAATTTGGAGAGGGGGACAAACAACAAAGAGGGGGAAAATGAGTAAAATCTCCAGAGGACTGAGGAAGGGAAGGGGTGGGAGGAAACCGTGATTAGAGCTACATTTTCTCTCTATCACTGTTGCCATATGCAGCCGCAGAAGCAGCAGCCGCTGCCCTTGATTTATATTCTGGAAATTTTCAATGCACCAGAATCTGAGCAGCTTTTTCAATTCCAGAGGATGTTATGAGTATGTTGTCAGTACAAGAGATGGTATTCAAATATATCAAAGGAGGGGCCAGAGTTAATAAAAGACAGCCTGTCTTTTCTGCTTTATCCACATTATGTTTTGCTGCTTCTGGTCTGGTTGCTTAGCTGTCACTAAACATATTGAATGCAAGCCAACAAGGACATTGCAACCGTCACTGAGCACTTTATAACATTTCGACAGAAATGCACCTGCTACTATGCAAACAAAACATACCGTCCTGTAGAGCTACTCCCATTCTTGGAGAGAAACCAGTCAGAAAAAAGTATGACATTGTTTCTTGAATTTAAAACTTACTACAATTAAAATTAGAAAAGAAAACCTTTATGGTTTGCCCCAACCTATTTTAAAAAAAGGTATCCCTAACAAGCTTTCACGTGAACTAGCAAAACCTAAAATGGCGACTTTTTCCGACCAAAGGAGCGTAAACGAAAAGGAAGTAAATACAACTATTTTTGCACTTACTGTTAATACTGATCCTCTCAAAGAGTGACTATGCAGAGTATAGGTTACTGACTGAACACTTTGCCATAAAATATACTAACTGGTGACAAGGTCTCATTAGTTCCTTTCATGAGTCTTCAAGATAAATCCCAGTGGCAAGAGGCCTGGTAAACAACCGTAACCGGATAATATTCTAATTAAGTCAAATGCTTAACAGTAATTTGATTTGCAATTGTACTGGCTAATATATAAGATGCTTCTTTGTACAGGCTGAAACGATACCAACAATGGATAATATCAAAGCAGTCTTAAATAATTAAACTGGTCTCAAGTAAGGGGGGGGAACCCAAGTTAGATAGGAACAGCAATTTTGCAAAGCAATGTCATTTGATGGTTAACTCTCTTCTTCTCCATTACATCTTAATGGCATGAAGGAATTCAGAAACTAATCAGCAGCAGAACCACGCTCTGTTAGACACGAGTAGAACCAGTAGAAGGATATGGTTTTGCCCCAAAGAGCTTTCAGTTCAGGAACTTGCCCTTTATTTATTTATTTTATTGCACAGATGTGCGCACACACACACACACACACACACTGAAATTATTAAATTTCTGCCATGTCAGACATACAGGTACTAAGCCAATTAACATAGGTTATTTGTTGAAAAATTCCCTGGGGACATTAGCGAGACATCATGTTGCAGGAATACTGATGCATAATTGTAATCTTCCATTTCACGGTATATGCATTTGCTGCCTACAATTTACAGCACAGCCATAAAAGAATGAGATAAGCACAGGCCATAACGTAAAATTATTCATTTATAAGAAGTTTCCGCACACAGTTTTCTCAATTTATTTTTTCAAAGTATCTGCATACTTACTGAGAATGAACTGTGATTTATCAATATTTTAGAAAGAAAGCCCTCATCTAAGTGACTGAACCTCTGGTCAAAAGGAAATCATGTTAATAAAGAGAACTGTTTAATCTGATGCTTGAAACAGCTTAACTTTTCCATTGCAGAACTCTTTTCTGTGCTACAAAGTTTGTCTTTTTATGTCTTAAAAATATGCAGAAAGAAAGGAATAGTTACTATTACAATCCGTTAAAAATATGCAGAAAGGAAAAGGAAGGAACTCTCATGATCCACCACCACCACCTTTTAGGTTCAATGACAGAGAAGTTTGACAGTCAGAAACTTCTGTACTATCTCTCCCTGTTTACAATGTTAATAGCCTCAATTTTCTGCACATAATTAATAAGAACTGAAAGGGCCCAATCCGGCTAAAGTTCCCACTGATGTCAATTGAGATCTAGGAATGTATTTAAATGTCACTCATTGACACTAGGTTGGCCATAGAAGTGATTAATGTTGGCACGATCATATTCCCTAAATGAACTGAACTTTTCATAGGGCACAATTTAAATTTAGATAGATCCCATTTAAATAACTAGAAGGGATAATTGTTTCATGAGCTTTAAGCTGGTTGATGAACCAATGCATGAAGGAGGAAGAGAGAGAAGGAGAGAGTGTGTGGGCATATTCTTGAAACTGGGTGACTTTTGTCAGTATTCCAAGGATCCTGAAAATAGCATATGCTACTTTCTTTTCCTAGCACACCACTTGCAAAAGAAAAAGTCTTCTTTTCCTATTTATCTCAGTAAAAGGATAGAATTCCAAGGTCAGAATTAACCCAGAACCTAAGATTTTAGGGCCCAAGCCTGAGATGATCCCTAGTGATGTTGCAAGAGTTGTGTACCGATGTTATAATTAAGCAGAATACATTAAGTCAGTGGTTCGCAACCTGTGAATCCCAGAAATCCCAGCCTGTTTACCAGCTGTTAGGATTTCTGGGAGTTGAAGGCCAAAACATCTGGGGGCCCACAGGTTGACAACCACTGCATTAAGCATTAATCAGCTGTTCAAAGTAAATCATTCAAATCAAAAAATAAATCTAGCAAGTTGAATAAATGAAACAAATACACATCCACGTGGTTTTTTTCAAGGCAGTACTCTTGCCCTGAGATTCCTCTCCACTGCCCTGAACACCAGAGAAGGTCAACGCCCTGAGATATGCAAACATTACTGGAGAGTTAGAAGGACATTTCTAATCCTGATAGCCTATGAAGAGTAAGAGGAACAGATAAAGCTGTAATTCAAATGGTTAAATGAACTGAATAAAGCTATACAAGCTTGTAGATCAACTTTCTGAATCTTGAGGAATGATTTTGAAATTCACAAAATGTCCTTCATAGCCAGAGGCACCCAACTGAAGTGTTTAGAACATACCAGCCTTATACTGTTGTCATTAGCAAAAGAAGCACCTTTAGCATAAGCCAGACAGTATTTGAGACCTTTGTTTTCACAGCTGCATTTGTTGAAACTGATGCAGCCAGCTCAATATTGCTGATGCATCTCTTGCTGATCTGCTTTTCTAATCTTCCCATAATTTGATGCTGGTACCAACACATGACCTTGAGTGATAAAACAAAGAGTACATTCGGAGAAATACACCAGCATATTTGGAAGGTACTAATACGTACAGAGGGCCCCTATTTAAAAGCAGCATGCTCAAGAAAGATGACATATACTAGTGGCTTGACATTTCTCTGAAATCTTTGTTATCTAATGATGATGAATACAGGAGTTGTAGTCTTGCATCTGGAGGGCCACACAAAATTACACGGTGGTCCAGATTCGGGCCATGGGACTTGAGTTTGATACATGTCTATTAGGACCTCTTTGCACAATGAAGAAAGAGGACAGAATTTTCAGTGCCCTCCCTTACATTTCAACTGATGCAATATTTTTAGTATAGCGAGCAGAAATTTGTAGCTTGGTTGGGGTGGGGGGGTGGTAGAAAAAAACAAGACGGCAGAAGCATAACAGTATGTCCAAACTGAGATCTCTGGTTATTCCTTCCAAACATTCCAGGAACTTGAAACCAGGAAAAGAGGGCAGGAGTAAGAACAGCTTCAGACAAAGGCCTTCCAGGAAAACATGAAACAAGAAATTCTATTTCAAACGTAACACTGAGCTTTTGATTTCTGGTTAGTTCAGCTCCTCACAATGAAAAGAGGAGCAAAGTAGAAGCAATCAAATCCACAGATTCAACCATCCGTTGTTTCAAAATATCCCCCCAACCAAACATTCTAAAAAGTAAATCTTGATCTTACCATTTCCTACAAGGGCTACTATTTTACTATGCCATTGTATACAGTAGACACCAAGGACCTACTGTGATGTGGCCTGATAGGATTCTCCAAAATTTTGTATTGTTTTAGACAAAAATGATATATTTACATAGAATGGAAAATATAAACAGAAAGAATTACAACAGAAAAATGTCTGAGTGTGTGTAAAGACAAATGTAAGAGCTTTGGCCATCTTTTAAAAAATACTCATGTAATATCAAAGTTAAAATTTAGCAGAAAGAATTATGGCATGAATATAAAATGTGTGTGCGAATGTGTGCACATATGTAAAGGTATATAATACATATGTCCATAGTACATAAATCATTTGTTGAAATAAAAAAAGATGGCAAAAGTCTTATTTCATTGCTTATTTAAACAGAAGCCAGACATGTTTTAACTTGCACTCTTCATCAAAAGCTAATGTCAATCCTACACTGTACAATATTTTCTCCAGACTAAGGGCAACACCAGAGTCTCTTTTCCTTTTGTCTTATTATTTCAAATGGGGACATGTTCATTTTGGCACACACTCTAGAAATGTATGGAATATTCTTATTTTAATTTATTATTGTTGAAGGCATTTTGTCTTTTATGCAATGCACCACAAGCCTGGAAAAGTATGGATTTCTCACTGCAAAATTGCATCTCTTCCTATATTTGGCTTAGAAGGTGAAGTTCAGGTGAATACATTTTTTAAAACCCTGATGGAAAGAATTTCTCACACATCCCTAATTAGCATAGTATAATTTAACATCAGAGGAAGTAGGCTATAGCCCTAAAAAGTCGCAGTTAATTACATTAATCTTCAAAATAGCACACAACTTTTAATTTTTTTGCAGCAACAGAGAAATATAATGAATCTAACCATTCATCCTATTGGGAAGTTCCCAATTTAGTCTTTTGAATCAGAGATCCACCAGTCAGTCTCATAAGAAAACTATCAATATACATGAGTAGTAACATACAGAGACATATCTCCCATATCCAGCTCCAATTATCACACCATAAAACTTTTTTCAGAAAACCACAAAACATTGGTTTGGCCCAGACACATAGAAACCTACAGATAGCTATCACTTTGGCTATGCATGCAGAACTGCCAAAGTT